TAATATGTCTTGATTATTTTTTAACTTCATGATTTCAGTTTAAAACTTCATTTGACCCTGAGAGGAGTGATGAAAACTTGTGGCTTCTTGGTAGGTTCAGTTTTATTTATTTAAAATGTTCATGTGAAAAGGTGTAAGAATTCAAGGGGATAACAAATACATTGTAATATGTAATGAATTTTGGAAATTTCAGAGTGAAAACAGAAGTAGTCAAAACAGACATTATACGCCCTATTTATAAGATTTAGAACAACGTTATGTTTTGAAGGAGTCTGATATGAAACTGTCAAAACGAGTGTATAAGCCAGTAAATGTTTTCGTACAGTAAACAGATATGTCAAAGAGATTGTTGATTTTGTTTACGTGGGCATCTAAAAAGTTAAGTTACTGTTTGCTTCCCTAACACATGTAAAGTTTATTTTATATAATTTTGTCGTGTTTATACATGTTGCGAGCTTAGGTTTTCTAAAAGCTTCTTGGCATAATCGATGTTGTGAAAAAATCAAAAATTATCATCAACGTATCTTCTATATAACAAGACAAAATCCCCAATAGCCGCGATTATAATTAGAGCTCAAATCGGTCAAGAGATGGAGCTATGAGTTAAGAGTTTGTACTTGAAAAAAAAAGAAGCTCAGAGCTATCCTATGAGCCACTATACCGCGGCTAATAATCGGTTTGTAATAGAGAGGGCATTCATCCAGCTACTGGGACTCATATTAGTAGAGAAAATATTCGCAAAAGTCGGACCTAAGGATGATCCCCTCATCTCCACATCTGTCTGATCATAAAGTGATCTCAACGTCCGTAATGAAAGATTTTTTTTACATTTGTTATTGCCTTGCTTTCAATATTTATTATAAAGCTTTGTTTTCCACTTAATGATTTCATTTAGTTTTGATATCACCTCAAATACAAAACCAAGACATGCAATAAGCAAATCTAGAATGGACTGTTGATCCAAAAGATAAATTCCTAGTTAATTAACAATTAATGATACACAATACACCAACTTCTTTGATTTTCAAAAATGCTTCTAATTTCTCAGCTGGCTTAATAATTAGGGTTGTGTCGAAAGAGCACACTTGTTTTCCCAAGACTTCAAAACACTGGGGACAGCAGATATGGTAAACACGAAGTCTCTTCAGCCACACTACATTTATATTATGAAATAGGTTATTTTTTCTTATCAATAAAAAGAGAGGAATTCTTCGATCTAAGTGATCTATGGCTTATAATAGACTGAATCTCACTATTTTTACTCACTATAATACACATTAACATGAGGCTCAATCAATAATCGCCTGGATCTCACTATTCATCTTTACCCTCAATACAAAGTGACATGTGCCTTCTCCAATAACCGCCTGAATCTCACTATAATACACATTAACATGTGGCTCAATCAATAATCGCCTGGATCTCACTATTCATCTTTACCCTCAATACAAAGTGACATGTGCCTTCTCCAATAACCGCCTGAATCTCACTATAATACACATTAACATGTGGCTCAATCAATAATCGCCTGGATCTCACTATTCACCTTTACCCTCAATACAAAGTGACATGTGGCTTATCCAATAACCGCCTGAATCTCACTATTCTTCTTCACATTGATACACAGTATGTTCATTGAGCTATAAAACAATTAAGTTGTGATGTTAATATTTCTTTCAAATACGTGCACCAAAGTGGTTACTCATTGAATGACAGACATAAGAAAATAAGTTCTGAAATGAAACTTGAAAGAGAGATATATATCTTTTTAAGTGATGATCTGGTATTGGTATAAATATTTTTTACATTCTGAAATGCTTGTTGGGAGCAGTTTCATTAAACCCGCAACGTTATAGTAGGCTATAACAACTGACCCATACTTTTTATAATCAAATGTTATTGGGAAGTAAGTAATTGTGATCCTAATAAAGCAGACAGAGATATTTCGGTATTTGTTTAACTGACCTTAGCTTTTATTTAATAGCAATCCCGATTATATAGAAATATATCCATACAGCTATCACGTGGGTAATTTGACTCTGATATGATGACAAATACAACATGCCATTTTTCTGCTCACTGTCGTCCTGATGAAGAACTGTTGCCCGAAAAGCATAATATAGATAACTCATTCTGTAGCTTTGATAAACACACGCAATTCTTTTATTACCAATGCAACGCGCATGCATGCAACTTATAACTTAATAAACCTAAAGAGATTAAGATATTCGGGGAAATTCTCTTATCCGTATTTACATTGTAATTGGAATACATTGGAATCACTTTTAATGACTGAAATTGAACAACAGAACGATTTCGTTAATGAGTCATACGGTTTTGGGGATTGCAGCTTCATCCAATGCAATGCCCCTTAGCGAGGGGTCTTAAGCAGCTGTCTTGCTGTTTATGGCTCTTCTAGCTCTTTAATTAATTCATTTTCCACCAAAATCTATTCCTAATTCCTTTAAATAATTCAGTAATCAGCGACATCTATCTTCCACTTTAAATAATTCAGTAACAGTGACACCC